TGTAAGACCTGAAAGAGTCTGTTGAATCAACAGAAGCCCCCCACCCCACCCCCTCCTCCACATACATTCTAGTCCACATGTAGAGGTCAACACATTCTCACCAGCCAAACACATCAGTCGCCCTCAAACACTGGATTACTGATATGTGATGTGATCACAGCTATAAATTTCCCTCCATGCTGGGTCAGCTGCAGAGTTTAAATCAAGGTTATGTGTGTTTGACATACATGTTTGTGTAGAGGTGTAGGTTAAGTTGTCTGTGAGTGTAAAACTGAGATCTGAAGATAGTGCAAAACATGTTCAACAAAGAAGGGCTTTCCTTGTAATCTGCCTTGACTAAGCCTGAAACTCCACTAAGAACATAGGCGTACTAGAACTGCAGTTCTGATTCCAAAAGTAAAACAAATTTAAAAGGTAACTGGATTTCTATCCTCATTAATTGAAGATGTTTCACTTTGTATCTGAGGAGCTTTCTCAGTTCATCCTGGAGTCTGCAGGGTGCACAGCTTTAACCTGAAACCAACAGGAAAGGAAGTCTCAAATTTGTGTTTTTCAGAGCTTACAAAACTGCTTTGAAGTACCGGTAGTAATATTCCTCTTATGCTACAGAAAATTGTTAGTTAATATTCAGAACAGATGATCTGGTCAAGACAGGATGATGTGAAATTGTTACCTCCACAATCGAGAAGTTACTGATAACTTAACTCTGACGTTTTCTTTCCATTCGACCTTTATTTATACAGGTTAGTCTCATTGAGCCTCGAGGACTCATCTACAAGAGAGACCTGATTTAAACAAAGAGCACAGATGAGGTACACACAGCTATAAACAATCATATAAAAACATGAAATGAAAAGTAAATAGAAGACATTATATAAAAATGAAGCACAAACAGCTACATTATAAAATGGTGTAAAATATTAAAAACAGGAACATGTCTGCGTTGGGTTTTTTTCATGAACTTAGCAGATGTTTAAAATCCCTTAGAGGTCAAGGTCGAGAGCTTCAGATCTTTTTGCAAGGTGTTTCAGGAAACAGGAGCGGAGTAGGAAAAGGACCTTTTGCCAAGTTCAGTCCACACTGAGGGGACTTTGTCCCATAATGTGCATATACAGAGGTACAAACAAAAATAAATGTAATGTTAATTGTTTACTAGCTGGGTGGCAAAAAGTCACAGTTGGTAGAGCTGTCGCCTCTCAGTGAGAAGGTTGCCAAAGAGAATCCTATCTGGGGGGCTTTCTAGGTGGAGTTTGTATGTTCTTTCGTTGCATGCCTGGGTTTTCTCCAGGTACTCCAGTTTCCTCCCACAGACCAAAAACATTAATGTTAGACTGATTGGTAACTCGGGCAGCACGGTGGCGCAACTGGTAGAGCTGCTGCCTCTCAGCGAACAGGTCCCTGGTTCAAACCCCGGTCCAGGGGCCTTCTGGGTGGAGTTTGCATGTTCTCTCCGTGCATGCGTGGGTTTTCTCCGGGTACTCCGGTTTCCTCCCACAGACCAAAAACATGCATGTTAGGCTGATTGGTAACTCTAAATTGTCCCTAGGAGTGAGTGAGAGAGTGAATGGTTGTTTGTCTCGTTTGTCTTTATGTTTCTCTGTGAAGGACTCGAGACCTGTCCAGGGTGTCCCCCGCCTCTCGCACTGTGATTGCTGAACATGGGCACCAGTGACCCCATGGATGGATGGATGGATGGATGGATATCCATCCATCCATCCATCCATCCATTATTTTTTACCCGCTTCTTCTATTTTGGGTCACGGGGGTCGCCGGTGCCCATGTCCAGCAATCACTGTGCGAGGGGCGGCGTACACCCTGGACAGGTCTCAGATCCATCACAGGGCCTAATTTCATGTCATTAAACAATTATACATTTATTTCAAATTATGCAACACTCAGCAGAAATATGGCATAGAAATATTTATTTATTTATATTTTGTCTAGGGTATCATTAGGCATCTTTGATAGAAATTGAGGCCAATGCAGATCAATTTTTCTAAATTTTCTCTGAATTTCCTATTTTTAATTGTGCTTGAGATTAATGAACTTTTTTGGTTTATTCTACAATCTACTGAAATACTAAATACAACATTTCTTTCAAATTTCAGTAAACATCTTGTAATTTAAAGCTTTTTTGCTGAACATGACCAATCAGAAACAGTGTTTTCAAGTCTCAAATAATGGAGAAAAAAAAAGAAGTTATATTAATTTTTAGACATTACAATACCAATGTTTAAACTTAGCAAGAGATCAGAAATGGTAGATAACTGTTGTAATAAAGCTTTTTTTTATTTTATTTTATTTTATTCCAGCTTTTATGTATCTCGCGTTGCTCTCAACCAGTCTTTTTCACTTACATAGGGTGACTTAATTTTTCCACTCTTGGTACAAATATTCAATCAGCTCAGCTATATTTGATGGATTGCAATCATCCGTCTTCCTTTTCATCACATTCCAGAGGTTTTCAACAAAGTTCAGGTTTGGATTTTATGCTGACAGGGTCTTAATCTAATGGTCCTTCTCACACATGAACCTCAATGAGAACTTGATGCATGTCATTCTGCAAGAGGTTAACGATAACCCCAAAAGTATTTTTTATACTTTAAAATACTTTTACTTGGTTAACTAAGATTTGGTTCAGACAATCTGCTAATCTGCACCTCATCAAGTAAAACGAGGTGTGCTTGTGGGTGTCATGCATGTAGAGATGCTGATTTCAGAAAAATTAGCAGTTGTCTCTGAATTTGTTCCAGAGCTGTAGAACCCTCAGAGACATCTTCTGTTCACTTCCGCTGCTCAGATTACCTCATGTTTTTGACATTTTCCATCCTAACGGATTATTTGTGAACTCTGTAAAGTTTAGGAGTTGCACCCAGTTTCATTTAGGTGTTTTAAAATTCATCAACAATGTGTCTATGTGTTTATTCATACATTTGGTTGCTAGTGACAGGTCAACCATGTTTTTGCTGCGTGCCAGTTCGATCAGTCACACAGCATGGAATCATAAAGGTGACGTTAATTAAAGGGGGTGTATTAATTGTATGCAGAACACATGTGCATATAATTACTCTTTCCCTGGAGATAGCTAATTGATAGGTTGTGGCTGCACTGATGGGGATTCAGAGCTGGGCAGAGAGACATCGAGAGCGTCTAACAGGCACAAAAGGATAATTGGCAGGACAAGAAACAGAGAGAGTGAAAACAGAAGGACAAACCGAAGGTTGGTCCACAGCAGATTGCAGCTGCTAGCAGACAGCAAAATGTTGGATCATTCCAAAGACAGAGTTAGAAAACACGCACACAGCACACAAACGCATCCAGATGAATTTGTATCAGCAAAATTAAAAAGAATGATTATAAGTTCAAATTTTCTGAAACAAACAACATTTCAAAGAAAAACTGAGCAGTGCTTTTGGAACTAATTGCTACTGGGCTGTGTGTTATTGTTTTTACCATACCACTTTATTTACAGTATAAAGCCCTTAAGCACCAAAGTGCTGTACAGCAAAAATAAAGAAGCAAAGGACACAGGATAAAATAATAGATCCAGAGAGATCAAGATAAGAACTAAGTGACCAACATTGTACAATATAGACAGGTTCAAAACAAATCACACAGTGTCAAAAGCCAGGGAATAAAAATGTGTTTTTAAACGAGACTTAAAAACAGTGAGAGTGGGAGCCTGCCTGACGTGTAGTGGTGACTCATTCCACAGTCTTGGACCTGCAACAGAGAAAGCCCTGTCACCTCTGAGCTTAAGACTGGTTCCTGGAACCAATAAAAACATCTGATCTGCTGACCTCAGGGAGCGCTGTGGGACATATGGCTGCAGCAGATGTGTGAGATAGGAGGGGGCAGAACTGTTCAGATATTTGAAAACATACAGGAGGATTTTGAACTGAATTTGAAAGTGGACCAGGATCCAGTGCAGGAAGGCCAATACTGGAGTAATGTGCTCTCTTTTGCCTGTACCAGTTAAAAATTGGGCTGCAGCATTTTGTAATCATGCAATGGAGGTCTGAAACAGAAGCACATTGCAGCAATCAAGCCTGGATGTTATGAAAGCATGTATTACTGTCTCAAGGTTAGTTTTGGACAGTATGGGCTTCAATTTAGACAGTCGCCTCAACTGAAAAAGAAAAACAGGATTTAACAATCATGTTTACATGACTGTTTCAGCATCAGCTAGTGATGGCCATATCTCATGCTGCAGCACACCTAATAATATTCTCTCACAACAAAGATGACCGTGGCCTTGCCAGATCAGTCTGTGCATGATATTACCAGAGCTTTAGAATTGTGAAAAAACTGTCCTCATATCGGTGTAGCTGAAATATAAAATGTGTTGATATAGTGGTTCAATTCAGTAGCACAAAGGGAGCTTCTTTTTTTTCTGTAATGTAAAATGCACATCCTATGGTGTTGTTACATTCTGCATGTGAGTTAATCTAACTTCTCCTTGTGTTTCTGCGTGGTTCTTCGTCTCCCACTGTGGTTCCTGAGGGGTTTGAATCCCAGCTTTGTACTCTTGTTTAGACTAAAGCTAGAGATGATCTTTGAATCCCACTGAATCTGTACTTGGTCTCCATGTCTGGCAAGAAGAACTGCACTGAGTTTGTGTGCTTGTGTTGGGACTGGAACACCTGCGGGCCATCGTGTTCCCTTCTTTGAGGGAAATAATCATCTGTCTCTGAGTATGTGAGAAATAACAGACATGTTTGTGTGCGAGAGCCTTTTCATCCCACCTGCCATCTAACACTGGGGTTTGGGTTGCAGAACGGACACCAAAACACCCCTCGCCATCATCAGCACCATTCTCATCATAACCATGAGCAGCCTTTCCAACACGAACAGCAGAAGCAGCAGCCAGTTGCAGATCTGATAGACTTAGATATGGATCTAATGTCTCAGGTAAGGGGCCATACAAACATGAAAAAAATATATTTTTTAAACTGGGAGACATGCTGTCATAAAGGTTAGCCATCACCCTTCATGAACTTCTTTAGTCACATCCTTGGATGAGCTTTTGTCTCCACATCTTGATCTCTAACTGCATCTCTTGTTCCTCGCTCGTCTAAAATGACCACAGCTGTTGACCTATGCCCTTTATGAATAAAACATGCAATGGTGCCGTTGCTATAGCAACCGCGTTCAACCAAGAGTGCAATGAAACACCGCCTCTGGTGCTCCCTTGAGTTTACACCTGGTTGACCCAATACGGCAGAGACAAAAACGCTTCATTATTACAGTATCTGTGAACTGTGCTGCAGACATGGGAGTTTCTCTTCTCACAGCACATTAATAAAACACTCATAATGCCCAGACAATCACAGCAAACCGACCTCGCCACCTCACTACCGCAAACACAAGAAATATATTGAGCTGAGTGAACCAGCAGTGGACAGAAAGTCTATAAATGTCCAACTCTGCATGATGGTGGGACATTGTCTGCAGTGCAGTGGCATTTAATCATTTCTGCTTCTAAAAAAAGACCAATATTCAGCAACAACTAAGTGAGTTTACTGCAGTCTGTGTTGGGGCAAAAAGTGACCTGAATTTAATCTCATTCTTTTATTAGTCACTGCAGACGTGGCACTATCTGCATCTCTGATAGTTTATCTTGTTTAGTTGTCTGCGAGCGTAGCCTCTGCAATAAAAATATATATTATAGCCTCAGATCGTCTTTGTCGAAAAAACAAATGTGTATTTCTCTGCTCAACAGCATGATCACAAATCTATTTTCTGACAAATGCACACACTTTTTTTTAGGTCTGTGCGACCTAATAATGAACAAAAAGACAGATAGTCTAAGAACATTCATTATCTGTGCAGAAATTAGCAGCGTCCATGATTTATGCAAATCTCTGTCCATGAATTCAAGGCTTAGATTTCTTTATTACCCTAAAATAGTTTCCTTCACTTGCCAGTGGCCTAAAGATGTTATTAGCATGTAAAAAAAAAAAGAAAGTGCTATATGAAAGATAAGGATCATGGGAAGGCTGTGAAAGAAAATGAATGATACGGAACAAATTCAACTCAAAGAGACCCCGCTCTCTTTCATAGATTTTATTCCTCTGAGACGCAGCACATCTTCTACAAGCAGAAAAGGTTAATGACTCACCCGTACAGTATTGAGTTTGTTTTATTTTTATTTATTTAATTTGTTTTGGAGGGTTATTACTCTGCTGTAAGATTAACTGGTAGAAAGCATCTTAGAACCAGATGAGGAAAACTGTAACAAGATGAGGTGGGTATATCATCATAATCATTCCATTTCATTATCCCACCCCTCCTCACCTTTATGTCACCTCCTCTGTGTTGCTGCAGCAGTTCTCAGGTAGGTACCAATAATCTGCCTCGCTGGTCTTGTGTTGCATGCAGCGTGTCATGCATGTTGCAGTGAACTGTACAGTGCTTCACATGTTTCAGACAGCGGTGCGGTCATCGTGCCTGACTGCTGGTGTTTATTTTCTCTGATTCTCAGAACATCAGCCAATTAGAGATTTTTGGAGACATGTCCACTCCACCTGACATAACCTCTCCATCAGTGAGTAGATATTCCACTTTGTACCTTGTGTGGTCATTTGTGCTCTCATATTTTATTTTGTTGTTGTATTCTGACCTGATCTTTAATAAACATAGACCCCTGCCTCTCCCGCTAACACCCTCGACTCCTCGCTGGGCCTGCAGCCCCCAACGGAGCTGTTTACTCCCTTCAATCCATCGTCTGTGCCCTCAGGTAAGGCCTTATTTTTATCTACGCCTAAATACGCTGCTCCTACATGCTGCGGGAGTAACAAACGCACTGGGGTGGTGAGGAGGAGCAGGAAAGTCAAGAGAATTTGGAAGCAAAGGACACGAGGAGGGAGGAGCTGTAGGAATAAATAAAGAGATGGAACCGAATTGAAATGCAGATGAGGGGAAACTGCAGGAAAATATGGTGTCGGTTGTGTGCAGAATCTTAAAAGCATTATTAGCTTGCTACTTCAGATGCTGCTGATTTACCGCTGGCTGAGGCAGCTGTAGAGGTCAAAGGAGAAGCAATGAAACCTGCCAGCAAGATGTTATGGTACGAACACATCTTTGTGGTTTTCTGGATCTTTTTATTGACTCCTCTCCTCGCCTTTGATCATTTCCCTGCTGCTCAGACTGCATATGTCAGAGCGGCTGAGGTTAAATGTCAACCTCCTCTCCTGTAGTTAACTACTGAAAGCCAGAAACAGGAAGCAGCAAGTGTGTAATAAGAACTACCTTTTGCTGATGAGTTTGAGTGATTTTAATGAGCCTGTGTTGAGCTCTGCCTTTTTGTAACAACTCTGCTTCGTTTTGGAGGTAATTATAATAGTTCACCATGACCATTAGGAGACACCGCATTAGCTGCAGGCAGAAGTAGGGCATCAGTCTCTGGTGATGCATGTCTTATTATCTTTGTGGGTTTTTGTGTTGAGGAAAAGCAGCATATGTGGGTATTCTGATAATTTCTTACCCCCAGAGTGACATTTCTCACTGTTTCATTTTATACAATTAAAGGCCTCGCATTCAGAGTCAGAGAGTCAGAGATTCTTTATTGTCGTTCGCACCTCATGTGGTACATGTGGTGGAGTGAAATTATGTACACAGGGTCCCAGTTACATCCAACAATAAAATGTATAAGAAAAACAGTAATAACATCTAAGATATGAACTGAGAAAAACATCAACTAAGTATACACTAAGCACTCATAACATAAAAACATTGAACATCAGCACAAACCTGAACGTGAGTCTGTGTGAGCAGATGAGCACGCATGAACACATCAACATGAAACAGATCAGCAGCAACATTGAAACAGATCAGCAGCAACATGATGTGATGTTCAATGAAGGAGTATAACATATACGCACTGAAACAGGCATGAACATTTCCCAGCACCAAGCACAAGTCGCTGATGCAGAGAAATTAAGCTACAAATATATATATTTTTTCCTCCTAGGTTACGTGACAATGGGGGCGGTACCTCCTGGTCACTGGTCTCAGCAGGCATTTGCTACCCAGACACAGTTGGCTTTCGGAGTCCAGTCCCCTCTTGGCCCCGTAGCCCAGGTGCTCCCTGGTGGACAGCCTCTGATCTGGAGCCAGGCCAACATCTTCCCTGCCACACAGCAGCAGTGGGCAGCCATGGCAGCTGGAGCCTTCTCCCCCACAGCCTACCTCCCTGCCCAACCTGTGGGGACACTACCTGCTGCCATGTTCCAGACCATCACCCCTGTCACGACTGTGACTCCAGCCAGTGAGAGCCATTCAGGTGCTGGGGCCAGTGCCTCAGCTGCCTCCCTGTCAGCGTCATCAAGTCCGCAGCACGAGGAGAGAACCAAGAAGATAGGCAAGGAGATGTTCAAGGTGGGGGAACAGTAACTGCAGAAATATGGTTTCAAGTTAGATTGTTAGGTTATATGTTTTTGTTGTTGTTAATATTTGTTCCAAAGTGTGGTTAAAGATGTATGTACAGCTGCTAAATTAAAAGGCCCTCTGCCAAATCTAGCTATTTAATTTTCAGTTTTAATGAAAATTGTCTTTGGCCAATGTTCAAGCTCTCCTTGCTAGTTTCGCATAATTTGTGTGCAGTGTTTGGCACTGAACCCAAAAAATGTCTAAAAATTAGTTAATATTTTTTCATAAAGTATATTTATTGTAGTTTTCTTAACATTTTATTTCCAATTCTGAAAAAAAAAAAATATTGAGAAAAAGTTGCATATTGAAGCAATTGCTTGGCGCTGTTGCCTCACAACAAGAAGGTCCCAGGTTTAAAGCTCACCTGGTGCCTTCCCGTGCAGTTTGCACATTCTCCTTCATGCATGTTTGTATGTGGGGTGGAGGGGTGCGTGCATGTGATTGTGTGTGTGACGTGGATGTGCATGTGCATTTCTTGTGGCCTTATGATAAACCAGCAGCTTCTGTCCTTAACAGGGTCAAGGACATATAAAAAATGTATTCATTGATTCAAAGGGTTTATTGTCATGTGCACGACAGGAAACCTGTTTCCCTGAGTAATGAAAGTTATGCTTTTCTGTCCACATGAATGCTAAGCATAGAAAGAACAATATTTACAAATAAGAACCAAAGGTACCAACAAAGTACTTTGTAGAATGTGCAAAATATTACATCAAATAAGATAAAAGGGTTCAATTGTGCAAAGATGTTCAATAGAGTGACAGGAGCATTCAGTTTGTTAATGTCTGATGGCACTTGGAAAGAAGTTCTTGAATCTGAATATCCTGCATTTCACACTTCTTCACGTCCAGCGTGAGGATAGAAGTGTGAATAGTCCATGTTGTGGGGTGGGTGGGGTCCTTAAAGATGGAGGCAGCCTTCCTGTGGCCTCTGTAGTTGTACATGCTCTGCAGAGAGGGCAGTGGAGTCCCGTTGAGAACATCAGCCAGCTTATTTGCACATGCTTTAAGAGCCCACCCAGAAATATTGTCTGATCCTCTTGTCTTGTGGGGGTTGATCTTATTCAGAGCTTTGTGACTTGATGAGAATTTTATGGGAGAGGTGGGGGTTGTGTGGTCCAGCTGTGTGTATGCTTCCTCTCAGTGTTGTAGCAGGCCTCAAAGCAGGTGTACAAGATGGTGAGATCATCTGGTAGGATGTTTGTGCATCTGATGGTGCTGGTGGGGGCTCTGTAGTCTGTGATGTTTTACAGGCCTTGTCACAACTGCTTGGACTCAACAGTAGAGTAGAAGTCATCCAGTTTTTCTCTGTTCTGTGCTACTTTGTACTCGGTTTCCTTGTCAGATTTAAATGTGTGAGACTGAGCATGAAGCATGTGGCATACCTGACTGTTAAATCAGGGTTTCTGGTTGAGCAAACTCTTGGGTATACTGGCCACAACATTGCCAACACATGTGCTGATGTACACAGTCACAGACGCAGCAGAGTCCTGAACGCTGACAGAAGAGTCCTCCAAAGTGGCGTCAGTTCAAACACATCTCAGTCTGTCAGCGCAAAACAGTTCTGCAGAATGTTCTCAGTTTCTGAAGTTCAGTATTCAATTTGTTTTGTGTTTGTCTGTTTCAGTTTATGTCTCTAGGCTGGGTACAGGAACAAAGATATGGTCTTAGTGTCTAAAGTCAAGTCAAGTGTGGCACAGCCCTGTACGCACCACGTATGTGACAGTAGACATGGTCTAGTCTATTCTTTTCATGGGTGGGTATGTCAACAAGTTGGTAGTATTTAGGAAGTACAGTCCATAGATTGCACTCGATAAAGTCGCTGGCAGTAATAAAGACAGTATCGGGATGACTTGTCTCTGCTGCACTGATGATGTCATAGAGGTTGCCGAGCACTGCTGTGGAGTTGGCTTACAGGAGGCGTAAACAGCAGCCAAAAACAGGATAGTGAATTCCCGCAGGAGACAATGGGGATGGCATTTCAACAACCAAAACTCCACATCTGGTAAACAGTGTTTATGAACAGTCCATACTCGCTTCACCATGAGTTGTTAATAAATACACACACACACACGCTTTTGTCTTACCAGGGGTGAGTTTGCAAAGTTTCTTTGTCTTACTTCACACTCTCTTCCTGCTGTGCTGTGATCCTCGTGAAACTCGTCCAGTAGATCGTACGTTTGTTAGTAAGAGGCTCGGTAGCAGTAGTCAGTTGGCACAAGCTTGTAATCTTGAGTGGAGTCCTCCTCTCTTATCTAGTCATTGCCGTCTCCGGAGTGCTCTCTGAGCGTCAGCACCCACGTTCCAGCCCGGTGTTGTGAAGCATCTCTGGGAGTGGGTTTGGTGACGGTGTTGGCAGATGCAGGAGCAAACTATGAGTTTTAGGTTCAGTGGTATAAAACCAATAAACTGGTCTGTGTAAATTGGTGATGTTCAGCATTGTTTGTTGTATGTTAGCAGTGCATTTATCAGCGCTGCTGAAAAAGCAAAAAGCACATAAAATAAAAGCAGACATGCAAAAGTAGAGCAAACAAACACATCTGCCACCGTGGACGCCATTTTGCATCTTGTATGGATGCACCTTTGAGAAAACAATAAAAATATTGCCTCCAACACGTCCAGCAGAATAAAAAGATTCAATTGAGATACACCTGCAAACTTTCTGAATTGTAATCATTAAATCATAAATGTCATGTGAATAGCCTGATAAAGAGTGTGGTTTATTACCACAAATAATGTTACTTTAATGCACACTTCTCTAATCAGAATGTTCTCTTTCTTTCAGGACTTTCAGCTGGCAAAGCCTCCAGCCATGCCCTCCAAGAAGGTTGTTCAGCCCAGCTTGGCGGGAACCTCTGAAGCCTTCAGCACTTACTTTAACCGAGTGGGCACCGCCCAGGACTTGGATGACTGTGATGATTTTGACATTTCTCAAATGAATCTCACTCCAGTCACCTCCACAACACCGTCCACCAACTCCCGTGAGTACGACTCCATCCATCCTACCTGTGCATCGTGTGTGTATTCTCACGTTTTCTATTGAGTGTGTTGCTACGTGTAACCCCATCTGTTCTCGCTTGTAGCACCCACACCAGCTCCCAGGCAGAGCTCTCCATCCAAGTCATCAGCTTCTCATGTCAGTGACCCCACCACGGACGCCACGGACCCTCCTACGGATGACTCGTTCGGAGAAGCAGAGGGGAGTCCCAGTCGCAGCGAAGAGGAAGATGCTGTAAGTGTGTGAGGATGACAGTTGATTGTATAATAGGTCAGGTGTGTGTACCTTTAAGAAAACACTCCTTGTGCTGCTCTAACCTGCACAGCGTGTTAATACCTGCTGATAAATGGCTTTTGTAGCTGTGTTGGCGGGCCAGGTAATCACTCTGCCTGATTAGGGGGCAATGCTGTTGTGTCCCTTAGTGTGTGTTTGCATAAGTGCACATGAAAATGCACAACAAGCGTAGGTTATGTGTGTGCGTACGCACATGCATGGTCAACACAGCATTAAATTAGCTGCTGGAATTGTCAAAGACATCATTAAGCTGTTATTAATACCAGTGAGGTAGTGTCCATACATAACCACTTCTAAATACACGTTCATTTCTGATGGGATGGAGGAGGCATAGTGCCCCAGTTCTTCTTCCAGGGACATTTAATATTAATTTTCTCTCTAAGCCAGACAGCAACAATAAAGAGAAACTACAGAACAGGAGAAAACGTGAAAAACCTTTCTTTCTTTTACAAAATCCTTTGTAGATTTTGTGACCTTACAAAAAAACAATTCTACTGCTTTTCCTACCATTTATTTCCGGTTTCCTTTTCTGTTCCTTTTTTGTTGTTTTTCTAATGCTTGCATCTCTCCTCTACTCTTAATACCAAGCGTGAAACATTAGTTTTATGACTGCAATCCAGCCATTATTGAAAAAAATAAGAACTTTCTTACTGTTGAAAATGTCACCAGGCTGAAGTAACACATGTGAGTTTTACATAACCCAGAGAAACATGTATTGCAGCGCTGAGTGAGTGCACCAGAAAAGGTTACAAAGAAAAAGAAAGGAGGAAAAAAGGATGGTGCAAAGAAACATCTTGCTCTCAGCGGGGTGAGGTGTAAAAAGCAGAAATGTTTTAGGGAAGAAGAAAAAAGTAGGAGATCAATAATACTAACTCCATGGAGGCTTTCATAATAGATCTCTGTAAATAAGTGTGTGTATTTAAAATGGAGACCGTTTTTGTTTTTTCTTACCCTCTAAGTGTCTGTATTTCTTCTTTACTAGTTACTTCCTGTCTTTTCTTTAGCGAGTCTTCAGCCCTTCTTTTAGATTTACACTTTATCTGCTCTCTCTCTTATTTCCTTGTCTTCTTTTTCTCTGTGTGGACTTTTCCACTGCCGCCCTTCCTTCACCTTCCTCTTTTCTTCAGGCATGTGGTTCTGGGTCACCCTGCCCCAGTGAGCCAGCAGAGCCCAGCCCAGAACAGGCCAGTCCAGAGGCTGGGAGCTAGATAGCAGCAGGGCAGGGTAGGTATGAACCCCACTAACCTTCACTCTTACTTCTCCTCCATCTTTGCATTTATCTATCTCATCTTCTCGCTTTTTAGTTTTCAAACATC